CCATTGGATTCTTGCTAGTTGTGTATTGAGGTGGTGATGCTGATCTTAGGTGTTTGCTCCTAGGGAATCCACTTCAGCTCTTCTAATATCCTTTTCCTCCCAGTTTATTAGCATCACTGAGGTTACATCTCAGAACACAGAAGGATTTCTCATTTGGCTCAAGTAGCCTCTTGAGTGACGCAGTCTAATCACATTGGTTTATTACTGGCTGTCCTGCTTTCCTCTTTGTTAGTGCACCTGACTGTCCTCGGTAGACTTCTGTTGATTCTCTAGTTCTAACAAAAACTCAAAAGCAACTCAGACTAAATAAAGAGCATAATACAGGTTTTTGTGGAGCTCATAGGGGTGCTAGCTTCATAGTTACATTTTTTACAAAACATACTTTAATACAGTATTAGAAAGGTTTTTTTCCTATCGTCATTACATACAGAGCAATGTTTGAGGTCAAAAAATGAGATTACATAATAGAAAAATTCTGCACTGTTGAGGCACTTAGATTAAGAAAAGCTAACCTTGTTGCTCAAAGTATTGTTTTTCTGCCTCATGTACTGTGTGCCTATCAGATTTATCGCTGTCTGTTAAACTCTGCTTACATAACTATCTGGGAAATGTTGGTTTGGAAAATGCATTTTTAAGCATCTCAGCCAGTAGATTAGAGAAGCTGTTTACATTTAGTAAATCAATAACATTTCAAATTGGAATGAGAAAAATCTTTTTCCTTGAAGAAATACAAAGTTCTAACCCTTTGTTAGGCAGAGGTAGGTTATAAATGTCACTGATACCTAGGGCTCAGTGTATTCTGACTTGACATACAGTATTTTTGTTCAAGAAGGGGATTCAGCAGGTAATCTGTATTTTAAGTCCTTAAAAAGTCATTTCCAGCTGTGCTTTCCAAGCTTAATAAGGTGTGATAGTTAGAAGGGAAGCAATACCAACACTGTATGGGAGAGTTAAGGATTTGCCTTTATTTTTATGAACCTATATAAAGAGGTACAGTTACCTGAGGATGAGAAGTGGTGGAGTGGCTACAGGACTATAGCTCCCTCCTCTCATTTCCTCTCCGGTTCTGCTGAGCAGAAGTGGCTGGAGCAGCAGGCTGCGTGCAATGCTGGTATGAGGGCAATGCCTGTCCCGGTGGCATCTTGCCCTGGCATGAGGTATTACAAGAGATTTAGGTCCCAATTTATTTAAAGCACAAGTAGTCTTCTCAAGGTTAACAAAATATTAAATATGTGCTTTTTAAATCTGATAAGGTAGAGATGGCAGTTATAAATACTATGCTCACTAAATCTGTTTTGGCTAGTGTAGTAAGTTTTACTTTAGGGCTTTAAGGTTAAAGCAGATGGAGAGCTGACAAGTTTTAAACTGGGTGCCAGTCTGCAGAGTCTGAGCTAACTGAGAGATAAGCTGTTGTGTCTGCTTGATTCTTGAGAACACACAAGTACCTTACAGCCCATGTCACCCTCACCTCTGATCATGACCATAGTGTTATCTACTGACTGTGCACAGCTGGTCCCTGAGTTAGTAACTAGTAGTGTCTTTGTTGTATTTCACATGATGTGGTTTCCTTACTAAAATTGTCATCTTGGCATGTGTGAGTTTATAATATTTTAAATAACCTGGATCCTAAATGCACTGTGGTTCTGCCTATGATCTTGGCACCCTCGTGTCGACTGCCCTCCTGCTCGGTTTCATTGTGCTCTCCATGATAGCAGCATCGCTCTTGAGAATACACAAGCATAGAGTTCTCTAATACTGTCTGCTTAGACAATAAAAACAATCAAAAGGTGCACACTCTGCCTGTGCAGCAGCTTCTGCTCTTGCATAGGAATGGAAAGAAAGCATTTGCAGGTGTTTCTGCTGCAAACCTGCTGTTCTTACGAAAACCGCTTTTCTTTTGAAGATGGTAATATATGATTGCTAGGGCCTCCCTACTGGTTAGAACAGCAACTGAGAGCATCCATAGCAGGATGTCTAACCACTGAACCTGCAGAAATGCCCTCTGTTTTGAGGTCCTGCTGAAATGCAATCTCCCAAAGCATTTTTTAGGATTGCGGGAAATTTGAAACAAAGCTGCAGATTTTGGCAGCTCAGCAGGAGGTGGCTGCCAGTCTGTGGCACAGATGGAGGTATCTGGAGAAGCCAAAGCAGCATGGTCTTTCTGTTCCTTTCTTACAAACATCAGAAAGATTAGATTTTTAGCACTAGAAATGGCTGAATTTAGATTTTGAGATAAAATGCAGCAGGGAGAAACAGTCTCTTTTTTAGTTCTCTTCCACAGATTTTTCTGTAGATTTAGGAGATCAGAACCGTATTTTAATGTTAGTTTGTTTAAGCAGCCTGGGGTTGCAGAATAGGATTTTATGACATAAGTGAACTCCCCAGCAGATCTTGTATTTGTAGGCTGTGTAAGTCTTTGGTGATATTTGCACCTTTTTCAATTTCATGTTGCCAAGAAATTTCTTCAGAGTTCACTATGGCAGTAGACTTACTCTGTGGTAAGTTCTTTGCACTTTTTTTTCCCTGTGCAGCTGAGAGGAAAGGGTCAGAAAACTAGTCTCCACATTCAAGACACTTGCTCATTGAAATTAGTAATTGAAGTTAGTGGGGGTTTAATTTTAGTCTTAATAGGTTCTGCTGCAAGGCCACCTGCTAATATTCAGCTTAGTCACAGCAAAAAGTTGCAGGGAAGTAATGGGTAAGTGTGGCTGCTGTAGCCCCTAGCAAAAGCAGCTTTGTAATAATGCCTGCATATAGGGCTTCCTTAACAGCCTATGCAGTATGAGGTGTGCTGTCCTGCTGCTTGGCTGTCCTTCGACTTCTCTGATCCATTTTTAAACAAATGCATACAGACAAAAGCATTTTCAGGCCTATTCTTAGTAGACTAAAACCTATTTTGACAGACTGTACCATTAAGAGAGTTGATTTCCTTTATGACTTACTAAGCTTTATGCAGTATTTCTCTAAACTTTTTATTTCGGTTTCTTCATCTTATTCTTTTTGGTGTTTTTCATCTGCAGGTATGGGGATATTCTTTTCTTCCTAGCTGTGAAGTGACTCACTTGGGATTTTGTGTTCAGTTGTGAACATGTGGTTGCTAAAATTAATCTGATGCTTAGATTAGTTTATTGTGAATAAGCAAAAATAATTGGCTACTAAAGTGAAAAGTTATGTGGCAAAGAATTAAAAGGTTAGTTAGCTCAGTTGGAATTTAGGTCTGTGCCTTAATAAACTTACTGGGAGGACATAAAAAGAAGATAACTTTATTAGGAAGTCATAGTGGATTGGTTGAAAATGGAAATAGTGAAATATTGTCTCATGAAGAAATATCTGACACATGGGTGAAATTCCTTGGCCGTTGTTTTGTTGGGTTTGTTGGTTCTTTCAAAGGAAGCAGTGGATGACCTGCTCGATTGAGCAAAATGTTGGAATCTGTGTAAAGGAGAATAGTCCTGCATTATCTTGGAGATAAGCAATAGCATAAAGGTCTAGGCTACCTTGACATGGGGAATTGGATGACTTACATCTAGAAAGGTAAAAAAGGAGGGGAAAAAAATCCCCAACAGTATGTTGTGTAACTCTGAAGGTTCCTCAGGTTCGCTGAGCACCTTTCTAGGCTGCTTTTATATTTCTCTGCAGATCTAATCTAAGGTACCCAGACATGTTTATTTTATAAATTTAATCATCCAGTTCACACCTAATTGATGTCATAATTTTACGTGGAGAGCTGTATCTGTTCTTGGGCAAGCGTAAAGCAGTAGGTGTTCTCGGGAGCTTGGATTTCAGAGCAGTGGCCATAATCAGCTTGATTTGCAAAAGTGTGCAATAGTTGTGGGTGTAATTGCATAATATTTGAATGATTTGAGTTCTAGCCCAATATAAGCTGTAGATCTTCGTTAGCCTGAAGGAAACCGAGTATACATTTGCTGCATCCCAAGTGAGTGTCACTAAATTCTTAAAGACATCTGGAAAGGGGCATCCGTTCTCCAGTTCTTCTTTAAAGAACAGGTCGCCAGTTAGGTTACAGCAGGAGTGCAAAATCAGGCAAAGAGCCAACAGAAGGGAACACAGAGGTCGGGGACCTCAGGGAGTGTGAAAAGCTTTTACACTCTGGGTTGTTTTTCATATCTAAAATTGTCCCACGTGAAAAGCCAAAACAGTCCAAAGAGCAGGCATTACAGTGTCACTCCTTTTAGGAGAAAGTGTAATTTACTGGGAGAAGGGATATCGCAGATTGAAGCCTCCTTTGATACAGGGAGATGAAGTGCTGGGTTTTCTACTTGCTGAAGTGCTCTCTTTACAAAGTAGTTACTAGCGAAAGATGGAGTGATTTGGCCACATCTGCATAGCCAGTGACAAAAGTTGAGTTGAAATAGATTTTCTTGCTGTAGTCGCCAGTCCAGTCCACTAATCTGTAGCTGTTCTACTGACTCTGGTTTCAATGATGATAATGTATTTTGTGATGTTTCTGTGATTTACTTTTAAAAAAAGTTTTCTTTACTTGCCCTTTTTCTGTATTTGATACAAGATGTTTATAAGTGCAATTTAAATAGATGAAGTGTAGTTTAAATCTATTACTGTGTAATACATCTGGAATTTCAGATCTTGGAGATAATTATGCTGATTCAAATATCTGGTTAGAGAAGTTTAATTATCTGGTTAATCCTTTGGGACAAGGAGATGACTTCTTGCCCCTTCCTGCCCTCTGACTGAGATTCTGGAGTTCCTAGATCTCATGCTTTGCACTTCTTCATCGGTGTCTGGGTCTAAGAGAAGTGCGGTGAAGTAAATTCACTGTACTGAATATCCAAGTTTTCTTGAGTAATAATCTTTTGATTTTTATTTTTTCTGGTATGTCACATTACTTTGATGTACTCTGCTATCAACTGTTGTATGTAAAAGTGTCCTTTGGAACTAACTGTAACTTCTAAGTGTTTGAATATGTTTAAGATGTTCCATTATCCTGTGTCACGCTTATCAATATTTTGTTGCTTTTATAGATTACCTTTCTCAAGGAATAGATCTCTCTGGAATAGAAGTAATTGAAAATGACCTGCTTTTTATTGCAAGAGCTCGGCTTGAGGTGGAAAACCAGGCTAAAAGGTTACTTGAGCAAGGTGTGGAGACTCAGGTAAAATAAGCTTTCTTCCTTACTTCCTTTCAGAAGTGAAGTGTAAAAGTATCTCTGAGCTTGTTTTCCCTTGTTTTTTTGTAGCATTGTCTAATGGAGATTAAATGTGAAAAAAAGTCTTATGTGAGAAATTCTCACACATGAGAATATCCAAAGAAATAGTCAAAGCCATCCTTCCACAACATGTGCAAGAATAAAATTTTGCAGAATCTGACCCTGAAATTTGAGAGAAAGTAGGTGCTGATCTGAAATCTTCCCAGTAAATGCTGTGATAAAAGCTTGATGAATGCTAGGACTTTGTATTACACCCAGTATACTATGTTGCCACGCTTTATAGGTAAATCTGAAAAATGCAGTTTCTTAAAACTGCATTTAGTTGCGGTTTAAAGTTGTGCAGTAATATACCGAAGCATTTTGGAAGATTTCCTATTAGAACTTTAAAGGGCATTTTAAACTTTGAGGTAAATATTCACTGTAGGGAATATGAAAATGAATATGCATAATTACATTCATCCATATTAAATGTAATTATCTACATTTTTAATAATCTATGTCTGTTATTTAACTATTTGTAGCATCATTAGTGCTGTCTGCTTGCCTTTTTAAAGATTTATGTTCTCTTGCTTGTACTTCCTAGTATTCTTTAAAAAAGTGTATTTTAAATCCCCATTACTCCAGTAAAAGCAAAAATCTAGTACAAGTTCCTATCAAATTTTGGTTTTAAATTAAAGAACAAAGAGGATTAGAACAAGATATTTTTATGCTGTTTGTTACCAGTTGTTCAATTTACCTGTAAGTCAATATAGCATTTGTTTGTGCTGTTGATAGTTGAAAATTAAAATAGGACACATGCAGATTGGAAAATTTCTTCATTAAATTGGCTTGGTTAGATAATTGTGGACTAAAATTATCAGTGTCTCAAACTTGTGTTTAGGCCTTTGATTTCAAGTAATTTTCTGTAGTAAGAAGTCAAGTGATAAATACCTTTGACTATTTACTGGTAGCAAAACAGTAGGAAAAAAAACCATCCTTTTTTTTACTGATTACTATTCAAATGTTGAAAGTCCTGGCTATTTGAGTATGTTACCAAGCTTGTTACAAGCTATGAAGCATATGCGATGTTAAATAAAGACTGAACAAAGATAGGGCCTAAGAAAAAGCAAATGTACATTTATTTTAAATGTAGCAGAAGTCTCCATCGGTGTGTGCGCCTTCTAGTTTTTCATGTCAGATTTGACCTTCTCTGATAATTTTCTCTTAATATGAAGTACTAAACCGGATCTGACAAAGAAACCCTGGGGAAATCAATCCCGCTCCACTTGAAAAATAGACAAATTTATTAGGTGTTCCAGGCTGTATCCAGGTAATCAAGAGATTATTAAAGTATATGCCTGTTGTGCTTTAGCCAGGGGCCTGTTTCCAGCAAATGGAAGATTGGAAGAATGTTATTAGGGCTTAGTCAGAAGTGGGAATGTTTTCGTGAAGAGGTGTTGGGATATGCTTCACAGGTTTGTTGTTGAATATGATTCGTGGATTTAATGTTGGAAAAATAGTGTGCTTTAGAAAATGTGCACGCAGGTATTGCCCAGGAAATCTAGAATTTGAAATACGACTGTGAATAGTATGTCTTTGTTCTTATTATTGTAGCTGTGTGGTTTTTTACAAGCTGATTTACATTTATACCTTCCAAACTCTGAGATTGCCTGTAAGAGGACATGGGATCTTCATTCTTCTTTGTTTTGTACCACAGAATTCCTCAGATGGGCTCTCTTTCTGCTAGTATGTGTTCTGGTAGCAATTTCTTTACCTTTGTGAGCAGTGTATCTGTATTTATCCAGGTAGTTCTTCAGTTTCTTGACATTCATATTTGCAATTGCAATTTTAGTTTTCAGCTAAATTTTAGTTTTCATCTGCTGTGTAAATAATACACGAGATCAGTTGCCTACATAACAGCAAGCTCTTATTTCTGCATTTCATCTGGCACTTTCCAGCAATGCCTTAAGAAGAAAGTTAGTCTTATGTCCCCATTTTAGAGTATTTCAGTGTCCACCTGGAAGAGAAACAGGAAATGGAAACATGTAAAAAACCTAAAACTATAAGTATCTCCTTTTAAGCAGAAGTAATTAGAAGTTAGTGAATGCCTTTTCTAGAATTTAGCTAGAAGTTACTCTGACAAAAAGAACAGAGCTAAGAAATTTAAACTGTCCCTTTCAACATTTTGATATATCTCCTTTGTTTAGGTAAGAAGCTATTTTTGTTATTTTGATTATTTATTTTATGATGTATAAGTCACATGCTAGTAAGCTGTGCCCAGGGTCCCCCAAATAACGGCCAGCAGTAGCAAATGAAAGCAGATACTTCTATGTGACACATTGTCTTTTTCTCTGCTTTTTTATTATTTTTTTTAAATGCATATCCATCACTGTAGTATTTGTGTGTTTCTTGGTAGAAATGACATCTCTCTTTCCCTCTTCCTTTTGAAGTGTGGCATTAGCCATTGACTGCTTCAGAAGTGAAGGCTTCCACTCATGTGCATGGTGGTATCTTTAAAGCTGCTATCTGGGTATAAACTTGAAGTGTCTGTCAGCATGTCTATACTGAACAGGCTTTCATGGAGCTGCCAACCACACTTGCCTTCCTAATCCTTTTAGAAAGAGTAAGCCCTCTTTGCTTTTGTTGACAGAAGTAATACAAGTAATAGCAAACCGGATCAAGCAGATGTACCAGTGGCTACTGGCAGGTTCTTTATTGACATGTGTGCTTTGTTATGCACTCCTAGTGTACATAGCACAGACTGATGCTCTTTCTTGAGCCACAGAACATTATCAAGACAATTGATTCATACTATGTAGTGATGAACTCCTTGCTAGCTTTCCTTCACTCTGTAAGTGGGTTAATGGCAGGTAGTATAGAAGGCAGGAGAGGCTGCTTTAGCAGAGATACATCAAGAACTTTAATAAAGCCACCATTCTAAGAGGAGAGACAGCAATGTTTTCTGCTTTAAAATAAAAAAAAGAGGTATGTATCTATTGTGCAACTGCCTGAAGCATCCCTAGCATTTCTTTTGCTCACAGGATGAACCCTAGGCAGAGATATCTAGATTTTCTCTTGACATCACTTCACCTCTTTATTCAACAGCAGTATATTGTGTAAAGCAGATCTGAATAATAAGAAATTACTTGGAACAAGAGAAATAGTTAAGATTACCATAGCTCAATTCCAGGTAGAATGGTTTTGACAGAGATTGTTGTGGCTGCTATGCTTACAAAGAAGAAAACTTTCTCTGCAACCTAGCTGACGCTCCAAACCCTTTCTGCTACACATTGTCATGCTTAGTGTAGAACTTTGAGATGCCCGAACTTAGTTCTGTCAGGTAGTGATAAGGTTGGTACCATTGGGAGCCAGGTCATGTGTGTGCAGAAAAAAGCTGCCTGTCTATCTATCTCCTCCATCTTTACTTCTCTGACTAAGTAGCCCTGTTCTGTGCTAGGTTCACTGCTTCAGCAACAGTTACAGGTCTCCTCTGCATCAGAAGGATGGACATTTGCATGTATGTACTCCTATGTGTGAAATGGGTTATGAACCTATGCTCTTAGTTTTGACTTTACTGAAACAAACTTCAGCAATTAGTTAGGATATAGGTGGTGAGGGCAATGGTATCATTAAAGACTGATTAAATTATAAAATATAAAATATCCATTTAGGTCAAACAAGGCAAGATGACAGTAGAACTCAGATTTCCTTGGGTTTGCACCTTAAGCACAGTTTAACCACAGATAACAAAAAGCTTTCTTCTTTGTCTCCTGGAGTGATCTGTAGTTGTCTCACTATTCTTTTTAAGGAAGGTTTTGGGTAAATTATGTGATGTTTGTCACCCAGTTTCCCTTATTTAAAGTGTGGGCAGATTACTTTTCCTGCATAGCATGGATCTGGATAGAGTTAAATTCACTGGTAAGTCACTGAAATTGTTCTGCTGATCATGTAGTGAAGTTTCCTGATTGTGTTAGAGAAAGCAAAAAACAGGTGTAAGTTTAATAACTATCCCTTGTCCAAGGGAATGTTAAACTGTGTCTGCAGTTTTTTTTAATACAGAGCTCTTTTTAATTATTATTTATTTATTTACTAATTATAACCTCACAGAATAAAGATGAGGAAAAAAAAATCCAACCAACAAAAATAAATCCTAAACTCTGTAAACAATACAGTGTCTCAATTTATTTAAGTGTAACATCTTTATACTGTTGTCCCTTTGAGCATATTTATGGGCATTTTGAATTTTCATATTATAACTCACTGAGTTGAATTTGTTTTGTGAATTGTTCTGGTTTACATTCTTTTTCATACTGAACTTTTCCTCTAAGTTGTTGTCTCTGGAACAGGTACAGTTTTTCATATTAAAAAATTACTAACTAGATGTATGTGTGTAATTGTTCTTGACTAAGAATACTTAGTGCTTGAGAAAAGTGATGGGAAGATAAAGTATCTGCATAATTAACCAGTTGTCTGGAGGTGATTACCAGTAGTTGCCTGATGTATCTCAGTTCTGGGTTCCTTCAGCTAGGTGCTTATGTAGTACATCTTGCAGTCTTATGGCAAAATTGGCGAAATTAATCTAAAATCTTTCATAGGCCAGCATTTGACATTGTCAGTGATCCCTAACAATAGGTCTTCTTTGTTATCCCTAAGGGATCGAAGGGGAAAATATGCACATAATTGACCATTTTTCCAATCATCAAGACATTGCATAATTTATTTCATTTGAGGATCCTCTGAGCTGAGTGCTAATGTGGTAAAACTTGCAGTATTATGACAAGATTGGTGAAATTTATCTTAAATCCTTCACACGGCAGTGTTTAATCAAGTCAAGGATCTTAATATATGCTCTTTATTATCCTTTGGCAGCATTTTCTGGTTGTGCAAATGCACTTGGAGGTGTTTGAGATATCTGATATTAGGAATGGCTGGCATTGGGCTCTCTTTTTTGCTTTTTTTATAATGAA